CAGAAAGTCCAAATCTCTTTGGTCTGTGTCAGACGAGAGAAGTTAACATAACTCTGGGGGCAGAACTATGAATATGTGTAGTTGTATATTTCATATGAATAGATTCTGATTCTCTTTCTTAATTGGGTTAGAAAAAAAATACATCCTTCAAGTTAATGGTGACATACCATGCATCAGAGCCCATATTAATCTGCTGTAATTCAGAGACCATGGCCAACATGCTAACTACAAATAGGTCTATTACCTGGTTGAGTTTGTAGCGGTCTACTCTAATTCTCCAGAATCCACCAGCTGGTTTCTGCAGAGACCAGACTGGCTGGCCACACAGCGATATGAGAGCTACCATTTTTCATGCATCCTTGAGATCCCTAAGAATGGCTCCTGTCCATTCCATCCTTTGGGGGATATAATATAATATACTATTGCTATCTGGTGTGGGGCACTTGGCCATCCCTGCTATCACAATTCTTAGCTCATTGGTCAGGGTGACTACAAATGCCAAGTATGTCAATCTCTATAATACATTCAAGAATTGGGGAAATAATCACAGGGTGGGTGCACAGATGTAGTACACCAATTGTAAGCCACACTGGCCAAGAATTTACTTATTGCTTGGTCCACTCCCCCTGCCCTGCCCTTTTAGTACTGGGGATTGAATTCAGGGGTGCTTTGACACTGAGCTACATCTCCAGCCTCCTTTTTTAAAATTTTTTATCTTGAGACAGGGTCTCACGAAGTTGTCCAGACTGGCCATGAACTTGGGATCTTCCTGCCTCATCCTCCTGAGTAGCTGGGGTTGCAGGTATGCAAGCTGGCCCAATTTTACATGTAGTGTACAGAGGGTGATGGTAACATTGGATTTCTAGGTGTTTGTATTAGTTTCTCCAGAGAAACAATACCAATGGTGCGTGTGTGTGTGTGTGTGTGTGCGCGCACACACGTGCACCTACCCCAGTAACCCTCAAAGCCCTTGCAACATGGACCTTGGGCCCTGCAAACCTCTTGTCCACGCCAGCACTCTGCCTCCTGCACTCATTCCTATCCCTCTGTCAGAGGTCCTTCTCCTACATTTCTGCCAACCTTTCTGATTCAGCCACTGTGCTCTGCAGGCATCCAACCTGCACTGGGACCTGCACTCCCACTGCAAACCACTGCCTCTTCAGAGATTTGTCTCCCTCCTGTCCCCCCAAAAAAGTGTTCCAGCTCTAATCTGGTGTGTTAGTCAGCAACTCCATTGCTCTGGGCCTGAGGTGAGGCAGAGCATCTTTGCAGATAAATGTTGCAGAGGCAAGTTGTTCAGCTCATGCAGCCCGGAAGCAGAAAGAGAGGGAGAGAAGAGATAGAGACAAGATACAGTCCGAGGCCACTCTCCCAGTGACCTACTTCCTCTAGCCACACTCTGCCTATCTACGGTTGCCATCAAGTAGTCCATTAAAATTATGAATCCTTCAATGGATTAATCCACTGAGGTTACAACCCCTAAGATCTAGTCATTGCCTGAAAGCCCCACATTTTAGGTATTTTGGGGATCATGCTTTCAAAACATTACTTTTGGGGGGACACTAAAGATCCAAACCTTAGCACTTGACAACACCAGTGATTATCTCTGCCATCAGCATGCGTGGCCATATCTTCCCCAACAAAATCTGAGCCTCAGACTTTGGGAGAGGATGTCCTTTTATAAGTCTATCTTTACTTAGTTACTTTCCCTCATCTCTAGGGCACCCTCCTATCTCATACATATTATTTTGTGATAGCTTAATTATTCTTATTGAACTTCTTTTAAAATCACTGTGTGGTTTCTGTTCCCTGATTAGATCCCAACTGATTGAGATTGAGAATGGTCCCAGGACACAGGCCCAGGCACATGGGGGTTGGTTTGGCCATGCACTTGTGTGTGGTGCTAAGGACATTGCTAGTAGGAAATGGGGTGCTAGTTAAACTGTGGTGTGCAACGGCATCACCATGAATCAAATTGTGGTTGGTTGGGATGGGGTGCCAGATGAAGGACATACTTTAGAAACTCAAGTGTCTTCTGGGCTTGACCAGCATAGCAGAATGATAGCTATAAGGACTGTGATGTGGGTTGACTTCTTTCCTTTTTTCCTTTTTTTTTTTTCCTTTTTGTACCAGGGATTGAACCCAGGGGTGCTTAACCACTGAGCCATATCCTCACCCTTTTTTATTATTTAGAGACAGGATCTCACTGAGTTGCTTATTACCTTGCTAATTTGCTGAGGCTGGCTTTGAACTTGGGATCCTCCTGCCTCAGCCTCCCAAACTGCTGAGATTAGAGACATGTTTCACTGCACTCGGCAGGTTGGCTTCTTTGGGGAGTATTTTGCCACTTTCAGAGAGAAAATGACAACAAAACAAAAACAAACAAATCTACAAAAAAAAAAAAAAACAGAGAGAAGATGACAACTTGGCTCCACTGGCTTCCAGCTCTCTTGTCTGTGAAAGCAGCTTTCTCCTACATCCCATACTGCGCTAAGAAGCCCCTGGTCGTGGCTGGCCTGGGCCCTGAGGCCTGCTTCCTGCTGGGCTGGTGGCTGTGGACCAGCTCTGGCCTGTGAAATCAGAGAACATTCCCTCACCCTTCACCTTCATTATCTTTCACTATACCTTTCAGATAAGTTGTAAAGCCCTCTACTTGTCCTTTCTTGAGTACTCTCCCTTAGCCCTAAGAATATTTATATCTTATACCACTCTCTTATCATAGCTTGTTAATTTCTTCATATTGAATTCCTCTGTTTAAATCACTGTGTGATTTGTGAGTTCTAATTGTATATACACTGAAACAAACAAAGCCCAGGCCTGGTGTAAGGCACAGGGCCAGAAACTGGTCAAGGAATCACAAATTTGTATTGAGAAAACTGTTCTTGCCCCCTATTTATCCACCCTGCCTTTTTTTTTTTTTTTTTTTTGGTGGTGCTGGGGATTGAACCCAGGCCTTGTGCCTGTAAGGCAAGCACTCTACCTACTGAGCTATATCCCCAGCCTGCCCTGCCTTCTTTTGATTCCAGATATGAAGCAATACTTCCTTGGCCTATCTCTTTTGTTCCTAGGGATGCTGTGTTCTGTTGACCACATGCAAACTCTGTGGGTCAAGCCCTCTTGGATGACACACCCTCTTGCCCATCATTATGGTAACTGTGGACCCCCAGCTTCTGATGCTTAAGCACTACATTTTGGTCCCATCCCTCTTCCTACCAATGAGCCCCATTGTTCTCCTACTCCCAGCTCTAGCCTTTGGAGGACAGCCACAGCTCGAGTTCTTAGTGATGCTGCTGGCTCCCTCCCTGGCATATTCCTGATAGATAACTGGTAAATTGTGTAATCTTTGAAACTTCCATGGAACAAAATCCTCTGTTGGGTCTTTTAACCTCACATAATATGTCTACTCTTTTGTTTTCTCACTTCACAAATATTCAAGCATTTCAGTTTAACTCAGCAGAAGCTGTTACTTTCCTCAAATTCGCTACCAGTGCATTGCACCTGTCCCTGTGCAGATTTTTGGAAGTGCACTGAATCTACTATTTCATGAGAGTTCTGCCTGCCCCTGCCCAAGTCAATACTTAGTCTTATATTCTAGTCCCTTTTGATAATATGTTCTCAAAATCCAGTCCCACAAGCACACCCCTGGCTCCATCTGGAACATGCTAATTTTTGAAGCTCATGTGGAGTATAGACCCTATCTTTTTTTTTTTCCTGTGTGTTAGTCAGCATTCTGTTTCAGTAACAAATAACTGACAATCAACTTATAAAGAGAAAAGATTTATTTTGGCTCACAATTTTGGAGGTTACAGCCTGTAGTTGGAGACTGTAATTGCAGCAGGCCCATTGCTTTTGGGCCTGCTGAGAGGCAAGCACATAATGGAAGGAGATCTTGGAGGAGCAAAGCCATTGACCTCATGATTGGAAGGCAAAAGAGAAGAAAGGGCCCACAATCCCCTTCAAGGGCATGCACAATGACCTAAAACCTCCCATGGGTCCCTCTTTTAAAAGCTTCTAACTACTCCCACTCCAGCCATGGGTTGGGGACCAAGCCTTTAACACATGGGCCTTGTTGCGGGGACCGTGTGGAGTGGCTTTTAAAACCCATTCTGTAGCATTTTGTCATTCTATATGGCTACTGATCTGGCAGCTCAGGCCAGTTGCACTGTGAAGTTTCTAGAATGCCTTCCTCCATAAAGAGAATGCCAGGGTGAGGTGGGATAGGCCAGTTCTGCAGGCTCCAAGGGGTCACAGAAGCTCAGGGGCATCCACTCATACATCCTTATCCCAGGTGTTTCCCAACCAATGCCCTGACATTGGCTTAATAAATTGTGTGTGTGTGTGTGTGTGTGTGTGTGTGTGTGTGTGTGGTGGTGTTGGT